CCTACAGCAATTTTAGCCTTAACATCAGGAGTTGGGGGGGGGTGAGCATTTATATCTTTAGTGCATTCATGAATTGATCTGTTATGACACTTATGTATAGTCATAAATGCAAGAAGAACTGGGGCAAAAGTGACTCTGAGTCACTCTCATTTAATGCTTCCTATTTGATTTTTTTCACAATAGAGAAATAACTATCAAGAAGTTGAACTTTGAATAGCTCTTTACTGAAGCTGTCCTGATATTTCTGTTTCTCTTAAAGCACTAATTTAAGAACATTTTCACTTTCACCTCTTAGTTCTGATTTTCTAAAGGCAAGTTTAGTGTGAATGACATGCAACAGAGAGAAACCGAATGTGTATGGGTCTAAAGTAGGCTGGCCTTGTGCAGCAGAAGCAGAACATGCTTAGGGAGCTGTGTCAATATCAGACTGTACAAGAACTATTTGACACTCATAACCAAACTTTGGGCAGAATTCAGGGAATCTTATTCAGGTGGAGTTAGGAAGACCTGGAGGGGATAAGAGCCCCAAAAGGAGACCAACAGAGACATAAAAACTGAGCCCTGGGGGCCCTGAAGAGATTGATACCCCAACCAAGGACAGTGCATAGAGAGACCTAAACCCCCTGCTCAGATGTAACCCATAGACTCAGTGTCCAAGTAGGGTACCCTAGTAAGGGGTACATGGGCTGTCTCTGACATGAACTCAGTGGCTGGCTCTCTGATCACTTTGCTCTGGGAAGTGCAGCCTTGTCAGTCCACAGATGAAGAAAATGCAATCAGTGCTGATGAGACCTGCCAGGCTAGGATCAAATAGAAGGGGAGGAGGGCCTCCCTTACCAGTGGAACATGGAGGGAGAGTGGCATTGGGAGGAGATCACAGCTTGGATACAAAGTGAATAAATTGTAACAAAAGATAATAAGAAAAGAGACCTATTTGACAGTGTGGCCTAGGTGATACCTGAAGAATTCAGATACTTTTGTTAACAAAAACAAAGGAGGAGAGAAGAGCTACCCCTGGACAGATTAGTGGCAAAGTCTGTAGAGGGTGCTGCCACATCGCTAGACCTTTCTACCTTTCCTCCACTCGCTGTAACCAAGTGAGAAAAATTACCCAGCATCCTCTTTGTTTATGGCCAAAGGCTCTTCTAACAGTGCATGAGTGCTTCTGTAAGCACCCATTGAGCACTGAGAGTCAAAGTACACACAAGAATGTGTCATAGCGCCAAACCTCCAATATCTTGCAGGTCAGCAGAGAAGTAAAATCAAGTGTGCTGATAAGTGAATAGAAGAGGGCTTAGAGTAAGGGAAGACCAAAGAGCTGCAGAGAAGAGATAAAAAGCAACGGGATGGTCAGGAGCAATGGTCTAAGTAGGAGCAGAGATATGGTGGCAGAAGCCAAGAGAGGAGTTCACAGAAGACCTTGTACGAAATAAAAGAAAATATTCTAGATTCAGGGACTTTGCTGTGTAGTCCAGGCAGATCTCAAATTTGTAACCCTTCTGCCTCAGCCTCTTTAGTGAAGGGGTCATGGATGGGTTCCAACATGTATAGCTGAAGGTTTTTTTGTATAACTACAAAATGCAATTTAAATGAAATAATTCTTACACAGTATTCATTTACTCCTAGAAAAGATTAAAACGTATAAATATGAGTCCTTTGGGACTTAATAATTTTATGGAAGTAAAAGAAAGAAAGGAAGGAAGGAAGGAAGGAAGGAAGGAAGGAAGGAAGAAAGAAAGAAAGAAAGAAAGAAAGAAAGAAAGAAAGGAAGAAAGCCCTACCAATTATTTAAATAATTTTAGGCATGGGAATGGAGCTTGGTTTGTAGAAGGCTTACTTAAGCCCTAGATCTCCAGTACCACATAACTGGGCATAGTAGCATAAGCCTGTAATCCTAGCATTCAAAATTCCAGGCTGAGAAGGTACATTCAAGGCCATGCTACCCACTATACATAAGACTATGTCTCAAAAAAGTTAACAATAAATAAATAAATAATTCTAATAATACTTCAGAAGAAAAAGACAGCAGCTGTAGGAACATCCTCCCCCTTCCAGTTGAAGGGCAAAAAGGAAAGTGTTTATTTTCCATTTCCACGTGGTCTAAAACATTATCAAGTATATTGAACCATAAAAGAAAGAATACGCTTTAATAATAAGTTAACTATCTTTTTCCTATAGAGGCAGACTGGACTGGAGGCCTCAGCTGTCAACAGGGCTCATTAGACATCTTTAATGAGTGACTCCTCTTTGGAAGCAACAGGCCCCAAAATAAAGATGAAAACGCAACAAAGAGGAAACTAACTTGCCTTTAAGCAGACAAATCAAAGTATACACATCTGAAAAAAGATAGAAAAATATCTCTTCAAAGTGTTATTCTTTTGCTCGAGTTGCCTAACTCAGACCAATGGACAGTCTAATGGAATTTCTCTCTCTTTTTGACTGCAGGGAAGCAAGACTCTTCAGCAAGGCAATGGATACTGTATCTTGTGTTATTCATCGCTTTGCCTACTAGATATTCTCCTTTTGAGAAATCTGTCTTCCTTTAGGGCAGACAGAGTCATTTGTGGGGGACTGGACAGATAATCATGGTTCTAGTTTAAGACTGGTCTGCTCATGAGAGTGAAAAGCTTTATCTCTTTTGACAAAGAAACTAAGATTTCCAACTTTGTTGCATTGTGCATGAATGAAAATGCATTTTGGTCATAATGGAGGAATGTTAACACCAGCACAGCAAGTAATGCTTAGTGCAAAGGAATCGTGCTCTCTCTGCTGTGATCAGGAAGAAGGTCCCTCCTTTGTGCCTCTGAGTTATGTCAATCAATGGATACCTGTTAGTGACCATTGAGTTGTTGTCACTTGGCACTGAGAGTCTTGAGTGCAGAGAATCAGAAACTATACCTTTATGTAGGAACCAAAAAGGGCTTTAAACTGAAGGCATGCCTTGCTTTGTTGCTACATATAGTATGTACACAATGCCATAAAAATGTTAAGATCACATCACCTCAAGAGTGCCTGGTGAGAACTGGAAGAGTGAGGACAGCCATGAACACAGCATTTATTTTTCCTTTTGTTTCACTCCTCACAGGAGGGGATGGAAGGGTTTTGTAGATAGCTTTGACGGGATGGGCGAGTTAAGGATAAGACTGAATTGTGACTGTGGATGGAAGAGTCCACTTAGGCGCATACCTCCACACTGATAGACATACGCTTTCATAGAACTGTTAAAGATCTGTGTGACTATTTCTGCTGGCCATCCTTCACTAATTTTTGATAACGAATATACGTTTATTGAGCATGACTTCAGCAGCTCCCATAACTTCCGTAACTCATTCTGAATGGAAGGGGATCAGGGAGTCATGTTTAACAGAATGCAAAATCTAGGCTCAGAATTTCCTTCTTAAATGTAGAGAAAAGAAGATTACAAAATTCACTATCAGATACACTGAGACCGACTGCTAAATTTTCTGATCTCTTAGCTATTGATTCCTGGAAATAAAAGGCTGTATTAAAACTTGGGTAATTTCTGGTCCAGCAGATTCTGGGTTTAACCAGGTATTATTTCGAGCAAGAGTTGTCTCCAGCCTTCAATGCCAATGTCCTTTGTTAAACATTCCTAAGTGATGACTCTAATTTGATGAGCGTGAGAGAAAAAGCTAAAACTATAACTTGGCCCAGGAAATATTTGAAGATTTCAGTCTTATAATTTAATTTTTTATTAATGTTTTAGTGTACAAAACAATGGATTTCATAATGACATGCATGTACATGATTGTACTTTACTCAAAATCATCTCCTTTCCTATTGGTTCTCTTCTCTGCATAAACAGTCCCTCCTCCCTCTTCCGCTTCGTTTTTTACAGAGAGACAGACATTTCACTTTAAAAGGAGGGAAAAGATACAATAATTGTCAGAAATCTAGGTGTGATATAGCAGAGATTGATAATGGGAAATAGCTCATTTGCAGGTCAGTGGCTTGGCGAGGCCTCTGGGCTGATTTGTCTGCTCGAAAGACGCTTAGGAAACCTGGGGCACAACCTGGCAGAGAGACATCCCAAGATGATTCCTGTCTACCCAGCTTTATTTTGCCCCTCACCCCACCCCCTTATTTCGCAGGCAGAATTGGAAAGGTGGGGGGGAGCGGTGGAAGTAGAAGGTAGCGGTTTGGGAAAGTCAATTACAGTTCAGGCAACAGGAACAGTGCCTCCAAGGTCAGGGTGTCAACCAATTATGTAAAATCCTGCGGAAATAGAAGTCGGGAGAAGCTGAGCCAACTCTTGCATTTCAGGTCTTTCCAGAGCCCCCTTCCACCTGCCGCCCCATGCCACCCCTTGGCCAGGTCTTTGCATTTTGCCCGCCTTCCCTCATTTTTCGTCCCAGTTCCAACAAAATAAACCTGAAAAACTTTTTCTTCCTCTTAGTAAGTCATTAGCAAAGGATTTTCCTACAATTTAATACCAATTTTTCTCAGTGTCTCTGTCTAGACCCCGAAGCTAGGGCTCCTGGGCAGATCCAGACAGGGTGGTTGGGGGTTGTGTGCGGTACCCGGCAGCCTGGGGCTGGGACTCTGCTCCGGCTACCCTGGCAGGTGTCTGTTCTCGGGTCACCGTTTCCCAGGGCAGGGGTCCGGCAGGGCTCCAGCTCCCGGAGCCCGAGACCCGCTGCGGGGACGCGCGGCGAGGGGGTGCGCTGGCAGCGGGTGGCTTCCTTCCGCAGAAGCTATTTTTAGCAGTTCTTCGCCCCCTCTTCCCGGGGCCACCGGCGTGGTCGCCTCCGGCTTGCGGCCGCAGTTCTGCAGCTCAGCGCCGCCTCCCCCTCCGCGGACGGCTCTTGGTAGCTTCCACGCGGGCAGGTCCGGAAACTGAGCATGTCTGCGAGCGCTCGGCGGCCCCGGCAGCGGCGGGGGTAGAGCCCGGCTGCGTCAGGCTGAGCGCAGTCCGCGCGCGGCCGCGGGAGCGCAGCGCCAGCGCCGCCCGGCCCAGCCGAGAGGGGCGCACTCGCCGCTGCGGGGCTCGCACTGCTCGTCGCAGCCCCCTCCCGCCGACCCGCAAGTAAGTTTGTGAGGCTCCTGGGCGCCAGGGCGAGGGATGGGCGCCGGGGGAGCTCGGTCTGGAGAGCGGGAGGAGCGCCTGGACACCCGGAGAGCCGGCAGCCTTCTGCCTCCGAAGCCCCGCGCTTCTCCCGACCGCTGGGCAGGTTGAGAGCACCTGATTACGTAGATACTCCGGGAAAGGCGAGGATGAGCAGACCCGGAGGGCATGACTGGCTCAGGGGTCAGGTGAGGGGCACTCGGGAAGGAAGAAGGAGCTGGTGAGGGAGCGGACCCGGCAGGCCAGGAGCCGGCCAGTGCTGGATGGGGAAGGGACGGTTTGGGGAGCAAGAACCTGCCTGGGAACAGCCAAAAAGGGAAAGTGGGTGTCCCTGGGAGTGAGAGAGGGTCAGAGAGCAGAATAGGAGGCCAGCGTGTCCTGAACCGGGATGACAGAGGGAAAGAAGATAGATGGAAAGTGGGGCGTGTGAAAAGCGGATTTGTAGGAGAGCAAAGGACGCCAGTGGAAGGGCCAGTGGGCGCTTGATGGGCGGGTGGACTTGGTTAATTTGGGGAATCAGAACAAGCTTCAGTAGATATGATGGAGAAAGGCAGGTTTAATTCAAGCCTCCCGAGGGAGTGTGTGAGGCAACATGTTGAGAACCAGCGGGTGCAGAAAGTGGCCTGGAAGGGAGGGCTGGGAAGGTGATGAGGGATTTGGGGGAATAGGGCAGGGTTCATGCCTAGGAAGCACGCTGCTGGTCGGTCTGCAAACCTGGGAAGAAGGTTGGAGGATATTCTTTAGAAGCTGTTCTTTGAGATTCCCTTGCAGCCTGAGTTCCTCCTCCGTCTCCTACCTGGCTCGGAGGCTCCCTGCTGATACAGACAGTGATGAAGCAACGGGGTAGTCACTTAAGGGGACCCACAAGTGCTTCGCTTTTGAAATGTGAATAGGGGTTCCTTTTAAGCAATGTGGGCCTGGATTTGTAATCACACAGAGGGGGAGTAGTGTGCACTGTAGGCCACGGGAATCCCTAGTCTCATAAGGGGTAGGGGACATGTGTTTTGGGCTGAGAAGTCTGCAGCATAAGCAGGGAGTATACATCCACGCTTGCAGATGTCTGCTGCCAGCCAGGGGTCCTCCGTGTTGCTGCAGGGAGATCCAGGACTCCAGAGGTGGCCCCGCTCAGGATTAAGGGAAACCTGCTTCCCTGCATCTTTTCTGCTCCTTTTGCGGGTTACGTTCTTTCCTGGGCCAGTGATGTGCTTCCATAGCCTCTTTCTAGTTACCTTGTATTGGAAACCTTATGTTGCTTATCTTCCCTGATTTCTGTGCTTGGAGGATGAGTCTCAGGTAGGGCTGTTTCCATCACCTACTCAGGGAAAGAATCCTAGGAGTCCCTCTGTCAGAAGGGCTCTGGAACCATGAGGCCTTCTTAGAGGAATTGGTTCTCTGGGGGTCCACTGGTTCTCCCTTCACCCTTTGCAAGTAACATGATGATGACGACGACATCTATGGACTGAGTAATCAGGCAGCTTCAAATGGACTGGGAGAGGCAGTGACTGGCGTGAGAACAGTGACCATAACTTAACTGCTTTTGGAAAGGGACCTCCTCTCAGTTCCGGGCATGTAAATAAATCACTTAAGAAGGAAAAGGTTAGATTAGTTCAATAAGCAATCCAAAATCTCATTGCAAAAAAGGCTCATTTGAAAAGACTTTTATGCAGCTAAATGAATCAACAAGGACCTGAAGGTTCCAGGATGAGAAATTGGAATGAAGAGATGGATGTGAGCACGACAGTGTCTTCTCAAGCTCCATCTAGCTGAACATGCTCTGTCAGTGGTCCTATTGTAAAGCTGCATTGCTAGAGTAGGAAATGAAGCTGAAGTTAGCTCTGGAGCCCTGAGCCATCTGTGGATAGAAAGGAGGGAGGAAGGCTCAACTCTGTGGCCACAGGCTCCTGCTTCAAATGGTGGGCCCTTGAGATGATGTGTCATGACTGAGATGTTTAGCACATGGAACTGATGTGTGTGTGTGTGGGGGGGGGGGGGGGGGGGGGGAGGGGGGGTTTTTTTTTTTTTTTGGTGGGGGTGGGTGGGTGGGTCGGTGGTTTTTTTTTTTTTTTTTTTTTTTTTTTTTTTGCATAGTCCTCTATGGTGCAATAACAAAGAAGTAACAAAGAAGACAGTACTCTTCTAATGGCCATTTCACTTCATTGGTTGGCCCAGATTTTTGAGTCACTGTTTGAAAATATGTCTATTTTTCTAGACATCTGGAAACTGGCAAATTTGAATTAAAAAGTTTTTTTTTGCTGTCATTATCTGCTTTTATCACTGTGTGTTTTTAATTGATTGTATAGAACATGTGATTCTTTTAGAGACTGTTTCTTTTTTTTTTCTTCTTCTTCAGAACATAGTTCTAATAAAATGAAACTGTAGGTTTGCCTGTGTTGACTTGGGGGAGGAGGAGCATATGAAGAGGAGGGAGGGGATGGACATAGGTGTTCAGCAGAAACAGAGGCAGGAGTCTGAAAGTCTTGTGAATGTGTAGAGGTGAACCTTTATTTATTTAATGCTAAACTTAGTGTGAAATGAGAAAATCCTTCCTCCCAATGTCTTTCATTTTAAATACAGAGGATTATATGTGCCCTCCAGCTACTTTCTCATGCCTGGAGTTCTGAGGTAGAGACCCAACCTTACAATTCTACAGGAGGATTTGTCCCTAAGCCTAGCTAAGCTTCAGCAAACACTCAGTGAGATCTGCTGCCCTAAGGTAAAGACATTAAAAAAGTGAGAATAAAAGAAATGTCAGTCTAAGTAGAAGAGAAATCACTTTGTGTCGCCCCAAGAACGGAAATGCTTCATAGGTTAGAGCAGTGTTTCTCGGGTGAGGGCACACTAGCAATGTGTGGAGACATTTCTGTCTTTTATCAACTTTGGGAGAGGGTGTTATAGGCATTTTACAGGTTACAGCAGGAACTGCCATTAGCATTTGATGCTGAACTATATGGTCCCCACACTGGATGCCAGTGCAGCTTAGAAACCATGGCTTTCTGCACTCCTAGGATTATGAATGGTTCCTTTAAAAACTGACTCCTGAAAATTGACCTTTGACTGCTGCCTGTCTGTGCCATGGCGTGTACACCCACACAAACGAATAAATGTTTTTTTTAAAGGTGTGTAGATATTGTTTCCAGAAGTGCATCTCAGCATCAAACATTCATTTTCAGAGATTTCACTGCAAAATGGTGTCATGTCCCAACTCCAGTCCAGAGGTTCTCCTGCCCGCTTGTGGCCATCATGGGCACCAAGCACACATATGGTACACATACTGGCAGGCAAAACACTTCAGCAAATAAAATAAAAATAAGCCCATTTAAAAAAAAAAGTAATAAAAACTTAAGCTAGGGAATCCTCAAAGGCTGGTTCTATGCATTTGTGATGTGAACTGAATGAACAATTGTTTTGGCAACAGAATTGTTGTGCAGTATGCTCCAGTGTGTTTCCAGTTGCTTTTTTATAAAAGAAAATGTTAATTTGTAAATTGAAATTAACTTAAGATAACAATCAGTAAAGTTTTTCTTTAGTGAGTTATTGAGTCAAATCAGAGGGGGAATGTTAGATGAAGTCTCATGAAATATTCCAGGGAGAAACCTTAGTGTTCAGATATCTACACAGAAAGGTGGGAGACCCGGATAACTTTTCTGTGTTTAATTTCCATATTAAATCAATAGAATGCTGTGTACTGAAGGACAACAAGCTTTGTGTTAGCAGCACAATGCACTGGCTAGGAAAGAGGAACAATAGCTCGTACCCATTAGTGAAATGAGATGTGGTGCTGTTTGCTCACAGCCTGCATGCAGGACCTGAGAACACTTCCTGGTTAAGGGCTTTGCCATCATCACACTGAGCTCTAAAGAAAGTACAGGTTTGCTCAGGGCTTCTGTCACTCTGCTGGCTTCACTCTCTTCACCCTGTTTATCATCCCTTGGTTCCTTTCAGATTCATTCTGAAGGGATTGTCATTAGAGCTGCTTCCTTCCTCTCCTGTTCTAAGAGCTGTGCCTTGCACTTTGAGACATTAATATCCCTGAGGGATTCCTGCAGAGTGGAGACATCGTGCACCTACCAAGTCCTTGGAGACCTGTAGCCCTCCTTCTCCTCCCTCTTCTCTGGTGTGTATAAACAGAAAGCTCTCACCTTTGTCCTGGGGAACAGAGGTTTGTCTCTTGGAAAATGGTTGTGGGGAAAGCCCTGGTTTTCCACAAAGCCAGCCTTGATTCCCATGCTGGTGTTGCTACTGGTTTAAGTTGATTAGTTGTTGGATCTTTCCCAAGAGAAATAGCAGAGGAAGACAAAACCAGAGAGCAGCACCAGGCTCATAGAAAAGCCTGTCATTGGACGGTATGAAAGTATGGGGTACACAGTATGAACCAATGATAATCATATGTATTAATATTAAAGTGAGATTTGACAACAGCAGATTCTGTCTATGATTTGAGGTCTTTGGATTTGTAATAACCTCTGCTTTGTCCATTATTTCCACTTTATAATACCATATCTGTTTAGGATAATATTTTTATTCATGTCACAAAATGTATTTATGAAAAGAAACAAAAATGAATATTCATTTTTAAATTTTGAGAAGTTGTATAAATAAATAATGATTCTTTAAGAGACTTCTGAAGAGTTTCTGATGTGCAGAAAGCTAAAGAGACCATTAAGGAGAAAGACTGTGTAGATTTGTGTGTGTGTGTGTGTGTGTGTGTGTGTGTGTGTGTGTGTAAGAGACAGCCAAGGAGAGAGTGAGATTTGAGTTCAAAGAGGTCAGTCCTTGTCTGCTTTTTTCTTTCAATGGGAAGTGGTTATTGATTTTGTTTGACATCTGAGTGAGGAGAGATAGTTTTCTTGTGCAGATACTTGTTGAATAGATCGTGCCTGTATGGTTACAGTTTTTACAACCATGGCATAGCAGGTAGTATTTGTTAGAGTGAAGCAGAGGTTCAAATGAGTTCAGTCCTG